TTGGTAATCATTTGCTTTACAATTTAGTGCTACAAAAGTTTGCGAAATTGTTTAATTTTTGTAAACATATCCTTGTTTGTTTATTTGTCTTATATTATCAGTGTCAAATTTTAGTATAATAGCCTTAAATTTAGGATACAACCTAGGAGAAACTAGCCTCACTAAAATTAAGAATTAGCTATGATAGAATTCCGTCTTGAAATTCAGCAAATATAAAATAGATTCATGACATATGAAAGGCATGTCGAAGAATCTCATTGGTTGCCTTCAGATGACAACCATTTAGATCTCGAAATGGAAAATCCTTTCCATCATGTGTTTCAAGAATTATTCGAGTGGATGAACCTTATCATAAAAGGGAACTAATAAATTGTTAACAAGATTTTAGGGTTAGAATTGACCTTCTGAATTTGGAGAGTTTATTTAATCCCAATGGATTTTTAGACTGACTTTATATGGTGAAGCGCATTTTTTAATATAAAAACATTCTTACTGATAGGAGAGTAAAATTTTTAGCCATAAAGCAAAAGCAAACAACCTCCATTTGTTTAGAAAATCTTAAAAGAACAAGGACTATAGAGGATAAGAATAAAATTTTCACATGAGAGAAAATGATAATAAAACATACGATGGAGCCAATCATATCACCATTAGCAATGGTCGAACTATGCAAATTGCAAAGAGCAGTCAAGGCTTCTTACCTACTCTTTCCCGTAGGCTTCATTTACGTTATTTATATCTTGTCCCTCAACTTTCAGATGATTTAATTTATGTTCATTTTCTTGCCTCTAATAAGAATTATTTCATTGCCTCTAACAAAAATTATTTCATTGTTTTGATGCTTCCGATTATACAATTAAGGACTTGATGACTAATTTATATTATTCTCCACAAAACTAGATATAGGCCTCTTTTCGTTTCGATTGTCTCCCAAGCTTTCTCCACTCTCAAATACAATTGCTCTGCTGACAAAATATTCCTTGTTTGCCTTTTGGCAGCACCGACTAGTTCATCTAACTTTATCTCAAGCAGTTTCAATTTTATCTAGTTCTTCTAAATTTCCTTTTTATAATGCTTGCAAGGTAGCAATGAGTCCTTTTTTATCATTTATTGTATCTCAAAATTGTAATTCTTTTTCTTTAGGAGTCAAACACTCAAGTTTATTGTTCCATCCTTCCAAATTTCCAATTAGGGATTCAAATATCATTTCTTCTATGCTCATAAATGACTTTTAATTATTGGATTTTTTCAATGTGTTTTAAATCGGAAGGTACGCCTTGCTTTCTACAAGTAAAAAATTTTATTAAATGCCAATCCAGTCATATTTGAGAACTGATGGTGGCGGTGAGTGTTGCAACACATGTTTTCAAACTTTTTTATACTCAATTTGTAATGGCTCACAAATGCACTTCTCCTTACACCTCTCAACAAAGTAGGAGGCCGAACATAAGCGTCACCACGTTGTGAAAACTATGTGAACACTCCTCTTTGATGCATATGTGCCCCACAAGCTTCTTGTTAATATCTTTCAAGCCATGGTTTATCTTATAAATCGCTTGCGATCCTCAAATATCAACATCTCTCCAAGCCTCAAATATAGATAACATCTCTCCCCATGAGCTTCTACATAACAAGTCGTTGGACTACATTTTCCTTCAATCATTTGTTTGTTTATGTTTCCCTTGACAACAAACTTACTCATTAAATAAGCTTGCACCCAGTCAGCTCCTTATATTGTTCTGGGGTATGCTCTTTTTTGAAAGGCTATAAATATTGCAATCCTACCACTGGTAAAACTATAACCTCCATACATGTTTTCTCTGATGCAATTTCCAAGCCAAAATGTTTCCTCTGTTGTTTTTGCATCTAAGCCACCTATCTCCTAACCTCCAGTCACATTATTTTCTATTTTTCAGTCTTTCCCAAACTATAACTGATGTAGGCAAGCTTTGGGCTGCTTGTTGTTTCTCGGTTTGGGGCCTTGGCTGCTCTCGGGTGGGCTTTGGCTACTTGGTTTTGAGCTAAAAAAGTTGGATTCTACTTAGTTTTTAGCTCATAAATGTTTGAGCTGATGTTTTAGTTCATTAATTAGAAGAGTAATTGCACTTCTTAGCTCATAAAATCATAACGGTATGTAGCTTGTCTTTTTCTTTTCTTGTGTCTCTTTGGTTTCTTCCTTGTGAGTCAATGCTTTGGCTGGTTGTCTTTTCGTTTCTCCTCCCTGGCTGCTTTCCCGTGCTACCTTGCCCCGTTTCCTGTGTTGGCTCCTCGGGTCTGGCTGCTTTCCCGTGGCTTGTTGGCTAGGATTCCCGTGGCTTTGCTTCCTGTTTTCTGTGTAGAATTTTGTGGGGGGGGGGGGGTGCTGCTGTGGGGTCTTTTGGCCTGCTGTGGTGTCTTTTGGCCTTTCATTTCCCCAAGTCTGATTGGTTTTGGTTGGAGGTGGAATGACTGTTTGACTTCTTTCTTTTGCTTATAAATTGTAGATGTTTTGAGAAGGAAAGAGCATGATGTATGCTGATTTTTGGACATGAAAAACTATACAGCCCCTCTACAAACCAATTCTCTACTTCACTGCGGCCTACTCATACAACTCAATTCCTGCTCCAAAATTTTCAATCATCCTGTGCAAACAAGATTGAGAATGAGTCATCTGAAACCCAAACATTTTCTCAATCTATATCATTTCATTTCACCTCAAACAGATCCACTGTCTTACATGTGTTTCCTAGATGAATTGACGGGCTGCTTTGTCAAAAGAGTTTCAGGACTTGTAGTGTCAAGGCAATTGGATTTTGGTTCTGGCTCTGCTAAACCAAACCATTCTTGGAAGCAAATGAATATTTAAAACAAAATATAATTTAAATGCTAATATTGTACTTCATAGGGCTCGTTTGGTAGCACAAGGCTACCAATAAGATTAAGGAATTGACTATATCAAAATCTTTAGCCCCATTGCAAAACTACCAGCTGTTCGAATTCTTATAACTGTGGCTTTACATCATAATTGGACAATTATGCAATTAGATATTTCCAATATGCTTTTCTACATAGCAGGGTGCAAGAAACAGTTTACATGCGGCAACCAAAAGGTTTCATTTATCCGCATAAGCCCCAACATGTTTGCCTTTTACATAAAGCAATACATGGACTTAAGCATTTACCTTGCCAGTAGTTTGCCACTTTTTCTGAATTTTCTACATCAACTCTTGTTCAGCCATGTTGATCCCTTTCTCGTCCTTTATACACAAGTTATAACAATTATTCTAACTGATTGGACGGGAGACCAGACTGATCATAAATCTACCGCAGGGTACTACATTCTTCTTGGATCTATGCCAATCTTTTGGGCAGTAAAAAAAAATCTATTTTGGTGTATACTTCAATAAAAGTTGAGTATAGAGCTCTTGTAACTACAACCACTGACATAATCTGAATATGTTGGCTCTTAAATGATTTTACTATTCCAGCTACATTTCCCAAATCTTTATATTGTGATAATATTTCAGTAATTGATGTAGGCAATAACGCCTTCTTTTATGCAAGAACAAAGCATATCAAAATTTATTATCTTTTCATTCATTATTGTGTTAGCTCTTAGGACATTATCATTCACCACATTGCAACCCAAGAGTAGCTTGCTGACATTTTTATATAGTCACTCCCTAACAACCGCTATTACTGACTTCACAACAATTGACTACTCCTAGGAGTCCTCAATCTGAGTGTTGGTAAAAACAGAAATATCCTCCATTATTAGAATACCAAAGGATGCTCCTCATTTTGGCATTTTCTCATCAGCACCACTACTTTTCCTACTAATAGAATCAGAACCATACATTCATAATTTACTCAACTATTTTGATTTACTATAATTGAACATTGTATATAACAAGGTTATGTTGTAACTCTAACTCGTGTAATGAAGTTAATTCATCTTCATAATTCTTCTTGTCTGCTTATCTGCATTTCTTTTACTTTTATTTTTAAGATCTTAAGAAGGTGAGACTGAAATTTAAATCAGGTTTAAGTTTTGACAACATAAAAAATTTATAATATACTTTTACATCAGATAAAAATGAAAAGATAATTTGTATTTATTGTACAATTATCAATTTTAAATTTTGTTTTTATCATGCCAAAGTCAATGAGGTAAACGTCTTTAACAATCCCAACCCACACAGTACAGAAGTAAAGGCTCAACACTTTAGGGATTAAGCAGTTTTTCTTTTCTGATTGACATTTGTGTTGTGCATGTACTACTGTGGTATATTCTTATCAATGTATGTCTATAGAATTTTATGAATTTTTGTAATATGATTTCACCGGCAAAGCACAATTTCCATCACTTATGCAAAATGTTTCTCCAAGTGCTAATCTCTAAATGTTGCATTATAATACAAACAAGTATATGACATTTTGAACATTCAATTTTATCTCATTTTCTTAAGAACAATTTGGGATAATTTATTATTCATTGAATTCAATTGCAAGAGTTTGTTAGGATTTTGTGGATTTTGTTTTTTTTTTGAGTCGCATGCATCCTACTATCTTCTTGAATTTCATTTTTCTCCGGTTTTAGGCATCTCAGATTTAGTAAATCTTTGGAGAAGTAGGATTTAAAAAATTTACACCATCTCTTCTCACTATTCTTCTCTTTCATTTTGATCCTAAATTCTTAAAATTTCAGGATTAACTACATTTAACATTTATCATGCTAATTATTTGTTAGAATTTAGTACCTCCAAGATGACTAAATCTGAATTTACAAGAGTTGCTTAATCCTACTTGAATTAAAGCTCAAGCAAAAAATGCTTCCTTGAGAAAGAGGAAGACGTGGGAAAAAATGAAGATTGTGGAATGCCTTTCCTTTTAGTTGTTTTCTGGTAATCTATCAACTGAAGTTTCTTTAAATTCACGTATACTAATCATTCATCTTATAATGTATTATTGCTCATATTTCTTGCGTGATACTAAAGATTACCTACTTTTTGTCGTTACAGGGAGAGAGAAACACTAAGATTGAAGGATCAAAAGATCCATGAACTAGAAGAAGAGGTATTCAAATCATCTATAATCTATAGATATTAACTTTTAGTAGAATTAGGATACTTTTATGCTTGTTATCATTACAGATAAGAGATTTCACCGTTTTCATTGAGGCCCAGAAAGCACTTGATATCAAAGGAGCTGTTGATGATATCCGAGGGGGGACATTGTTACCAGTTCCATCACCTCTAAGTTTGCCCCCCCGATCCAAAAGATCTTCAAGGATTACCAAAAGGAGAAGTTAGTTTTTCACAGGTATGTTTACCATGTACTCCTCTATGAAGAATGATATTTTAAATTCAATTGTTCGCATTTATGCTAAACTTGGCTCTAAGCTACTATAAGCCTTTCCTACTCTTTGTGTATACCACTCAGATGGTTCCCATTTTTATCTTGAGGTTCTGTGTGCACATATGATCTTTTGAATGAACCTTCAGATTATTTTATTCTTAGCAGACTGAAAATTGCTCATAATCTTATTAATAGGGATATTAACTATCTTAATACTTTCATTCTTTGTATTCGTTCATACTTCGCAGCTCTCCTCTCTGTAGATTTTGGGTTTTCATCTACTATCTTTGGTTATTCATCCCGTGGTTAAAGACTTTTCTCATTTAATACGTGCAGTCCTATCTATAATAGTTGGATATATATATATAGACTTGAATCTTTATATTTCCCCTTAAGGTTTAAATTGGATTAAAACATTTGCAGAAAACGATGTATTTTATTTTAGGTAAGTTAATGTTAGTGGTATATTTTATTTGATTTAGAGATTAGGGTATTATATAAATAAACCTAAAGATTTAGTTATTTGATATTTCAATTTATAAGAATTATATGATATGCATTCAAACCCACCTTAAAAGAAAAATCTAAATTTGTAGCTGCTTCTATTTCAAATTATAACTTTTACATTAATTCTTCCACAAATAGCTGGCCTTTGTAGAGGAAGAATTAGTAAGTGCATATTACGTATAGAGTTCTATGGATGGGTTATAGAAGTACATAATTTTGTCCCCATTGTGTAGTTCAATTAATTTAACTACACAATGAATATATTATTATATATATTTCAATTATCTACGCATAGAACTACATATGCAATCAACACAGGATAATTTCTCATGTCAGTGACTGTGCCTTTCCTATATTCATAACTATGCTGAGATTATTCTGATTGACATACTCCTTTCATCAAAATTTTCTCTCTTTGCATTATATACATTCTCTTGGTAATCTCTTTTCATCACCCCAAAAAAAAAAATCTATCCTTAATGCATTATCCCCCCATAAATAATATTTCTCAGTTGTTATTGCGTTGGATTTGTTGATCATGAGTTTTTTTTTTTAAAGTTTGAGTGAATTTCATTGGTTTATATAATGAAGGTTAAATCCTGATTTGGCTTTACCTTTATTTCTTAATGAAACTAAATATTTTATTAAGAAGATTCATGCTTCATTTGGGATAGCTTTCTTAATGTTTTATAAATAGTTTTTATTAAATTTTTTTTTAAAGCTAGATTATACTAAAAAGCAATTTTAGAAAGCAGTAAAAAAGTTATCACAAATGAAGTCTTAGGTTTTGTTTGGGATGACTTTTTTGCTGCTTCTTAAAACAGTTTTAAGAAACAGGAAGAAATCCATCCCAAACAAATTTGATTTATTTTCTCTATTGTTCAACAGGCATTAAACTTAAATTTTGAGTTCAATCCTCGTGCCATCATCAAAGTACAACCACAACCTTCAAAATTTCTTTATCTATTTGCCATGAATGTGAAAATCAGTGAATAAAGTTTTCCAAAAGCCCAAAATCAGGCAGCAGATGATAGTAATTTTTTCAGATGGATCGTGCGATATTCGGAATGAAACCTGCTCGAGTAGAGTATTGTGCTTTTCAAAATTTTGATTGCAATGCAAACTATAATTTTAACTATGAAGTTGGTTTAAGGTAGAAGTTTGAAGTTATTGTTATAAAGATCATCATTTTTACTCGTTAATATACTTTGTCTAATGTGCTTAGATTCATGTCATGTAAAAGGTTATGATTTTGTAATTCTGACTTTACCATCATTGTACCTTATGTGTGATTAATTCAAATCTACTATTTTCAATCGAAATAAAGAATAAATTAGTGCCAGATAAATAATTAAAAAAATAATAATATAGGTCTAAAATATCATCTAAATTTCATTGCTAAAAGATCATGCGTAATAATCCAATTCATGTGAAGTCTATACATTAAAATAAATAATCGAATTACAAAATATTTCATAAATTTTGATCCTAAAGACTTGACCTCATCAGCTCACGTTCCTTTTCCTTAAATATCAACGAACTTCCACAGGATGAGTATAATAAGCTCAGTAGACTTCGGCTTCGTTTGGGACAGTTGTCTTACTGCTTCATAAAGCGGCTTTCTAGTACAAAAATTTTAAATTTTGTACTAAAAAGCTGCTTTAAGAAGCGGGAAGAAAGCTGTCCCAAACAAAGCCTTCATTTACACTATCACCACAGGTCTCAATATCTATTTTACTATAAATAGTATGGTGGTCAAGTGATAAGTTAAAATAATAGAGTATAAACTAAGTACTTAAAGGAAGTTATATATATGAAACTTAGCACATATATGTTTCAAAAATATCCATTCAGCAATTTCTACTTGGCTTACACCTAACATTTATCTTTATATCTTTCACAGTAATGCTTTTATTCATAGGTAAACTTCTAGAGATATCAAAATATGTAAATGTGATGCCACTACAATAATTCTTACGATTGAGCTTATTTAAATTATCAAAATATGCAATACATGAATGTACTATGTAAATGTTACGATGCCTATTTATAACTCTAATTTTATTTATAACTCTCGTTTAATCTTTCACACATGCATGAAACAAGTGTGGTCAGAATAAAATAGAAAACCTCTCACCTTTATAAGGCAAGTAGGGTCAAAATAGAGTAAAAATCTCTCACATTCACACGTGGTAGATGGGGTCAGAAAAGAACTTATAAGGCCCTTGTAATCTTTCAATGTGTACTTGTAACAATTTAGAAATCATAACTTCTCTAATGTCGTGCCATGAATTGTACAGTTTGAATGTATGAGCATATACTAAATATGAATATGATGATGCATGAACTATCAGAATTACTAATATATCAAGTAGTATTATATGTGTAAAGGTTACCCACTCAGTATATTTCTTTCATAGTTACAACTTTAGAAAAACATTTAGAATAACATTTTAAGATTTTTATAGAATTATCATAAATACCAAAATGCCTCTTTTATTCAATACGCACAAAATCATCATAGAGTAATTCAACTAGTAAAATTTTAACTTTTTTTAGTCAAAGTGTTCAAAATAAAGCATATTCTAATATATAAAAAGTTGCGTGATAAAAATATCATAAAAATTAAAAAAAAAATACATTTTTTCTATATCTTGTTATAAATTATCAAAATTGGAATCAAAGATAAATGTTTAGAAGTTTACCTCTTGCCTGATTGGAACCTCCAAATCTCTGTCCTGCTTTTCTCCCTCCTATCTCCTTCTCTATCAAAATGAGTGGTTGGGGTGAGAAAATGAAAATAGATTTAGACATTTATTTTTAAAACATCATTTTTGACTCATCACTAGAACCCTTCCCAATGTTGCAACACAAGCAAAGAATATTTTGTATCGTCCCAAATTCCTCTAAATTGAGAGCTAATCACCACAGCTTTCCATTCGCTGTACCGCAACGGTCCCTTAATTCTTTTCCAAGAATAGAGAAGAAAATGCCATAGCTCCACCACTCCCAGAACTTTGGTGCTCCAAAGATTATTTTGCCTCCTTATGATTTTATATTCCCTATTTTAACTTTTAAACTCATTTATAATTGATTAGACTCTCTAGTACTTAAAATCTGAGTAAGTGGATATTCATACTAGATTAGTTTAATTAGTTAGGTTGTGGGACAACAAATATTACACACACAAAGGAACTCATTTGAGGAACATCATGCCTCACTCTCCTTGGCCTATGAAGGATGGTCACCCTTCTTATGGGCAACAGGGGATCTCGTTAACAAGTAACTTATTACTCGTCTCATGGAAGGAATCCATCCATCACAACAACTCGCCCCCATCTAGACTAGGTGCTATAATAGATCAAAATATTATAATAAATTTATATAAAATTTTGAATTGTATGGACACAGTGCTGCACCTGAGAGCACAACTATGATCTATCATCTATTGTACATTAGCTTGAATTTTTTGCATGTAGTGTCATAATGCTGTGATTTGTAGCTTCGCGATTCTAGAAATTAAATGATGTTTATATATATATGTACATTATTTTAAATAACCCTCACCACCTCATCACCCCCTATTTTTATTGCCTATATAATTGAGAAAGACATGAGAGGAAGAGGTCTTTTGAGGCATTTCTATTTGTGAGGTCTATTATAAAAGTTGCTTTGATCATGGTAAGTACTTTAATCATTCCTCTGTTTTTGATGATTTTGAGTTTTATCTATTTTTTCTCTCTTAAAATTGATAAAAATTATAATCTCTCATTTTAGTGAACTTCGATCATGTTACTTTTCTTATATGATAAATTTTATCATCCAAAATATTTTGATAGACTCATATTAAAATTTTATCAATTAATTTTGTATATATATTATTTTATAAAAAATGAGTGGAATTACTAAAGTACGAAATGATCAGGAGTTATTATACTATATCTGGATGTAAAATACATGATTTGCATTAATTTACTATTTATTATGCTTTATATATATAATATTTTGATAGACTCATATTAAAATTTTATCAATTAATTTTGTATATATATTATTTTATAAAAAATGAGTGGAATTACTAAAGTACGAAATGATCAGGAGTTATTATACTATATCTGGATGTAAAATACATGATTTGCATTAATTTACTATTTATTATGCTTTATATATATATATATATATATATATATATATATATATATATATAGCAAGAAATTTGCCTTATAAAAGAGGTTGGGCTTATGAATTTTCTTTTAAATAAGATTTATGATGTAATTTCAGTGATATTACTCATATGGAGATTGACTTATATATTATGATACGATAATAGACTGGAAGTGATGACTTCTTACATAAAAGCCACTTGACTTGTGATTTATGATATGAGACTGAATAGGGCTTAATACATCATCACAAAATTAGCTTGATCAGGCACGAATCCCGAGGCAAAAACTAGTTGGAGACTTCAAAAATTAAATCCGGGAGCATCCAAACTCCGATTTCAACGATCTTACAGTCAAACTGAGCGTCTCGGAAATACGAACCCAACAACACCAAGATCGACCCAATCCGAGCCCAAATAAGTCCGAATCAAAGAGTTTCATTTATTATGCGCTGATTATTTATGAATTTATTAGGTTAAAACGCATATTTGAGTTACCAAACGTGTTCTCTTTCCGATATTTTGGACGAAGCTTATCTATCGAATCGTAACGGTCTCGACTGAGTTACGTAATACCAACGTAGCCTAAATGTATCACTAAATTTCCGACATTGTATTCAATTTAAGGCTGCAATTTGATGATCCAAATTCGAATCGGTGTCATATTCTGAGATTCGTTAGGATTCTAATTTTATCGGTCGTCCTGTTGAGCAACTCCCATTTTCAGCTCTTGATCCTCACATCCTATTTATCGGACTCTTGCCACTTTCTTCTCAGAAAATCTATAGAATAAGGATGTCCCTTCATTTCACAAGAGAGCATTCTAAGAATAAAAGAGGTGGGATAATAGAAGAAGAGAGAAAGAAATTTATAAAAGAGGAAGAAGAAGAAGGAAGGAGCTCTCTTCTCCTCGATAACTATGCCGCTTGGAATCTCCACTATTGCCGACCTACTCACATGAACACTCCGCGAGACACTACCGCTAAGAAACTCATCACGGAACCATACCACAGACACCTACCCGGACTACCTTGCCGGACCACACGCAGAATCCTTCGCTCGGACCAAACCAGCTGGATCACCGCAGGATACTCCTAATCGCCGGACATCCCGACAGAACCTCCGCCGGTACCACCTAACCTTTATAGGCCTGAACTGCCAGTCCCTACGTCTTATCTGAAGACCCGATCGCCCTGATTCCTAGAAGACTCGACGATCGTCTCGTGTTATTCAATTGGCACCCGACTATCTCGGTCTCTCCCCACCGTCCTTTAAATCGCCGATCAATCCAGCTTCCCATGTACGTTTCTATCCCCTCTCTCTTCAGAATCGATTCCGACGTCTCTGCCCATCCTCTCCGAAAGATCTCGACGCTCCTGTTCAAGGCCCGACACTACGGTTCCGTCTTTATGGAGCCCTGTTCAATGTTCGGCCCGACACACATCTGGTCCCTACGTCCATTTTCTCAAAGGCTCCGACTACTCGCTCACCGTCTCCTCCTTGACTCCTCAGTTCAACATGTGCTCCGAACAGCTTCCAGGTCCCTATCTGTCCTTTTGTTTTCTGAAGATCCGACGTCTTACTACAAGACCCAACCGTATTCAAGTTCCTATTATCGCCTTAACGTCCATCTCTCTCAAAAGACCTGACAGTCTTACTTAAGTAACATGAATTGTAACCTCATTCTTACCCTTGTGAGGAGTGTTTCAAGTCCTATTGTAACGAACTCGAAATCTATATGTGGAATATCATTTTCAATACCTGGCTACGGCCTCGTGAGAATTATTATTCTCTTTTTAATTGGGTTTTTCCACGTAAAAAATCTATGTTTTCTCTGTGTGCCTAGAGCAGTTAATTAACGTACATACGGTAAGTACGCATGGAATTAAAATGCTCTATTCTGCCTGCGTATTTATATCTATGTCTGGCGGAACATGTGCTAATATGATTTGGATGAAATTATTTATTATTGGTTTTGAAGGGCTATGTCTGAGGTGTCTTTAAGATACAGAAAAATATACATAATATAGTTAGATGATATATGAATCATTGAT